CTTTCTAGCCTGGAGGAGTCTTCAGTTGTAGAGTTGCTTGGAGCGTCCCCTGCTGGGTGTAGGTCAGGTGTAGCTTTAGTTCAACTGTATGGTGATCCAGAATGGCCTGAAGCTTCTGTCGTGCAGGCAACCAGACAAGAGACAGGTGCATTTGACAAAGGAAACCTAACCAACTATTGGAAAACATATTATCCATGTTTAATGATGTGCTATCAGATGTGGTGTGTAGAAAACCTCTCTGCTGGTGGTCGAAAGTCGGCACAGAGATCATCAGCTCTGCAATTAGCATCTGCCTTCAGAAGCAAGCGAAGATAGAGCTCATGAGTATGATTAATTTTTTTATAGAGGAAGTACAATTTAATATCGACAGAAACTCGCGTAACAGAACTCTCCTGCATTCTGACCGGCAAATTAACACAACAATAAAAGCTTATAAGCCGGGTGTGCAATCCACTCGGCGATGAGTAATTTCACCTCATCAACAACTCGCCGAATGTGACACCCGGCGATGCGTACTCTGCTTATACCCGTACAGTGTATAAACATAGACGGAAGGTCTTTGTTATGGACACGGTAAAGAGGTACACCGAGTAAAAGGGCTTTGCTACATCTACGTAAGCATCTAACGTAATTTTACGTGCGGGCTGGCTTGGCACAAGTTAATTGGAAGAAAAAACCCGCTGGGACCCTACCCCATGAAATCAGGGGGAGGGTGATTGGTTGAGGGAGGAAAGAACGTAAGTTTACGTTAATAACTTATGTAGATGCAACATTATTGCCGAGTAAAAAGTAGTAGCCCACGGCAAAAAAGAAAAAGGCAACTGACGGCTTGGCCATGTTAACGGCGCTGTGTAAGACGAGTGCCAGGGCTTCAACTTCCGTCCATGTCAATGGTCAACCAGTGGGCACCAGGTAGCCATAAAATTAGCCGAGTGCCCATCGAATGCACACGGCATACATAAGAGCCGAGTACCTCAGCTTAGTTTTTATCTGGCCCCAGGAGCCTCGCAGAGGCATGAATATATATATATATATATATATGAGTACCTAAAATGGCCCACCTTTTATGTACATGCAGTTCAAAATTGAATATTCCCCCGTAAATAATATAACTGCAATTAATGTCTTAAAATAGAAAATGGTTCCTGAGAAACACCAAATTTTGGCGTTACTGTCGTAATGTAAGATGTTCCATATGGGGAAAATTAGGGATGTTTTAGATAAAAAAATCTAGTCCTATTTTTAAGGCATTAAGTGCATTTCTTGGCATTTAACGGTATAATTAAAATTTGAACTACAAGCGCATGAAAAAAATTGGCAAAAATAAGTTGCTTTTTTTTTCTTGAGTCTATTTTTAGGCCTTATCTAAGAAAAGAAATGGAATTCCAAACATTAGGGTGCCAAAACTTGACCACTAAAAATGAGCTTATTGGTTTTTAGTTCTAAAAAATGCAAACGGAGTCTAAAAAACAGTGAAACCTAGCATTGTGCCATTACATGACCACTATAATATGCAAAAAACATTTGTGAAAGTTTGCAAAAGTAGTGATGCATGCTGCTTAGAAACCCGACCATCTCCTAGGAAAATCGTGATTTCAGGAGGGAATGGAATGAGTATGAAGGCAAAGTTTCCATTACATATTGCATGTAATTTTTGACATTTTTTACTGTTAGTTCTTTTATATTTATGCCATTAAGTAATTTTTGAGGCATTTAACAGATATAGAAGTGCATGAAAAGGTTGGCAAAAGCGGGTTCAAAATCATATTTGTGTTAAGGAGTATATGTTTAGGCATTATCCAAGAAATGAATAAGAATTTCAAACATCAGGATATCAAGACTCTGACCCCGAACATGGAGTTTATTAGTTTCTTAATACTAGAAAAAGCGAACAAAGTCCGTAAATAATGCAAACTAGCAGGGTGTCATCATATGTCCCCTAAAGATTGTACTAAAAATTTAGATGTTTTTGCAAAAGTTGTGCCGTATACTACACGGGAACTGAAACATCTCTTAGAAAGAGGTTTCGAAAGAAAACGGGTCAGCTTTGAAGGTGAAGTGTCATTTGCTTCATAGTTTAACATTGGAACTTTTTCTGCACTCAACATACACCAACTGTATATTGGCCCAATGACAAGTGAAGGCGTGTGTTACGGCAAGAGCATCTCCAACAGCGGCGACAATAACCCCGCGTGCGCGGTAAACTACCATTTTAGCGCGCAGGGGACGTTTTCGTGCGCTCCAGCGGAGGCAGGAAACTCGGGCGCGCGGAAAACGACTGCGCGCGGGGAAAAGCGGAAGGTCGCGCGCTAGATTTGGCCCACCTCTTTCGGCGCGCCTATAAATTGTTGCGCCAGCCACGCGGCCTCCCATCGCTATCCACATTGCCACGCGCTCTGTCCCCGCTTCCTCTGCTTCCTTTGCCGCTTCCTCGTCCCGCCACCAACGCGCCACCACCGCAGCGCCGCCTCCTCATCGCCGAGGAGGACGAGCGAGCCATGACAGAGTGGCGCCAGCGCTACCCGCAGGACGTCGCCGACGAGAATGCCTTCTGGGCGGAGAGGACGGCAAGGCGCCGCGCGGAGCGGGCAGACATGCGTCGGCGGAAGGCACTCGCGGAGGCGCAGTGCGATCTCGTTAACGCGGGTGGGGAGTCGTTCTTTGACTCAGACAATCCTTGTTGGGAAGACGCGTGGCTCGATACCTCGAACGACACCAGCGAGAATGATGAGGATGACTCGGAGTAGGTTCTATTTGCACCATAGTTTTTATCTAGTTACACCGTAGTAGTTTTTATCGTGTTGGACTAGTTTTTTTATCTCTGATGAACTATGTACGCATTGTGAAATATTTATGTATTGATTCTTTATCTATTTTATCTATGCATTTGATTTTTATATTAGTTTGGAGTGCATATGTTGTTTGTGCGAAAGCGCGCACACAGTTTTTTGCAATGGCTGCTGGAGCAGCTTGTGCGCGCTAAAATTTGTAGCGGACACTGGAGCAAACGCACCCCGCCGCGCAAAAACAGGCCATCCGCGCACTGTAAGTGAGTTTTTAGCACGCCGCGCGTAGCGCGCCTGTTGGAGATGCTTTAACTGCTTCGATCACACTCGAGGTCTCGAGTGGCTTTATTAGGATGGTACCTACAAAACTTGAAATGTGGTGAAGAAATAGAGTTTTTGTAAAGGAGAATAAAGAAATGTGTGAAATAATAGTGCAACTAAATAACATCAAGAGTAACTGTGTTTGCGGAAGGGGGGAGCCTAGGTGCGGAGAGGTTTAGTTCATGGTAGATAGTGGAAGCGACTCGTTGATTGATTCATGACATCTCTCGCTAATAATCTAGTACCAACAAAAGAATAATTGTTAGGCCCTAAATATCAAGGGTTTGTAGTATCGAAAGAATCCTCTCTCAGTATTGACAACGAAGATATCAACCCGTGGTATTCTCCTATGAGTAGTCTAGTGAGGTTTTCATTCTCACCAACCTTGCTACTTACAAGAATTAATGTATCGTGTGTATAATCACAAAAAAATGTATTGTGTGTATGAAATAGATTTTTATATGACAAGTAGGGAAAAAATAAAAATATTAAAATAATAGTACAACCTGAATATAGAGTTGAATTTATGAGGAATAAATGACTGCAATCCATAATTTCACTAGTATCTCCTCTCCAAATAGCATAGACAAGGTAAATAAATTATAGTTGTGTATCAATTATTACAATTTTTATGTTTGATCATACATGTCAGCATATAGGCATTACGTCCTTGTATCCATAGACCGCTATACAGCTTCATCTATAACTAGTACTCCACTTCAAACCAAAATACATCATATATTTTAAATTATTAAGTAATAAAACAAAGCATTGCATCAAGCAAGGTGACATAATCTTGATAGTATATTATTTTTATCTCTTGCTCATCACCGAGATAACTAGGCAGATATATTTTTATCCTTAGTGGCAATAATACACTGCACGCCTTTTTTTATCTTTCTATCACTGACATAGACTATTACTCTCACTGTTCCAAAATAAGTGTAGTAGTTTTAATTCAGATTTGAACTAGAATCATGACACTTATTTTGAAACGAAGGGAGTACAAGGTTAAACCCAACCAACATAAAGAACTTCCTCTTGGAGATCATTTATCTAAACATGGCTAGTGCAAGACTAATAGATAGGAGAGCGTGCACAGATATAATCATGCAGCAAACAACCAAAACAAACCGATAAATAATCTATATATATATTCTGGGAATAAAGTAGAAATTCATCACACCACGACAAACACATCGAGAATTACATCATATTGATCACAATCATGTTAGACTAGTCACAATGGGTAGTAACTTAGACTAGTAACATGCATATGTTTCTAGTTTATGTTACTACCTCTATAGTGGGGAGTAACATATGTGTGGTGTCATGCAACACTTCATTTATTTGGTTGTATATACTCATCTTGTCTTGGCATGTGTGATGTTACAGTAACTAGCTATGTTACCGCGTGCCCCTCTTTCCTCATTAATTACTCGCCACATCATCTGTTTTGTCTAGATATATGTGATGTTATCATCTATTATGTTAGTCCCATTGTTGGTAGTCTTAGACAACTCATGAGATATTTGTATTGAAGAATGGCAGAGAGAAGATGTCACATAGCTATTGTTTTCAACCCATAGTCCAAGGAGCACTATCCCCACATCGTCATTATTGCAGCAAAGTTGATGAAGAAAGCTCCAGCAGAGGGAGGTGTTCCGCAATCATGGATGGTTGTGTAGTCTTTGGATAGGATCTCCTCCATCTTAGGTTATTTATCTACTTTTACTTTTTCTGTTGTAGTATGGCAACATTTCTTTGGACATATTCACTCTGCATCTCGTTATATATAATCTGGGCACTCCTGTAGTGCGTGCGATTGAATAAGCTCTATATGCAAAAAAAAATGTTCTTATAAAAAATAAGCAAGTTTGGGCTAGGACAGTGTTAGCACCCGACAGCGTTAAAACAGGTTATCGGCAAGTCGGCGTGTAGCGATGACACCGACCGCGCCAGGCTCCACAGGTCACCATCGCCAACCCCGGTGACGGAGGAAGCGTGTAGGGTGCCACTGCCGGAGTTGGCCGTGGCGCCACCGAGATCGTCCACGATGTAGGACATGCCGTTGGTGGTCTTGGCCGTCGCGGCGTCAGAGAGGCCGTTGAGCTCGTACGCCGCCACCCGGTCAAGAGCGTCCCAGTCGCCGCCGTACTCGGTCGGCGCCGGCAGGAGCCCGCCGGGGATGACGTGCTCGAGCGGCGGGAGCTTCATGAACTTGTCGTACAGGGTGCTGCTGTCGCTGTGGCACGCGCTGTTGATCAGGTGGTCCAGCGCTGACGATGATGGGTTGGTGGGCTTGGTCTCCTGCCTGCACGATGCCATGGATGAGCGGCCCATGTAGCTGAGGATATGGTCGAGCGCGTCGTCGCTGTGTGGCAGCTGCTGCTGCTGGTGCATCTGCGCCTTGGCCTTGTCGCCGGCGGCGGTCACCATCGACGAGGAGTTGCTCTGGCTGCACTCCATGGCACCGGCACCGACCAGCTTGTTGGACGCTGCGCCGCCGCCGTTCTGGTGCTGCACGACGATATTCTTCTTCCTGAACACCCTGCAGATGACCCACCCGTCCTCCTGTGCCGACGGTGACTGGACCCCGGCCACGCCGCGAACCTACGCATATCATACGGATAACACCGTCAGTTGATTTACAATCAGATTGATCGGTCGCTTAGGCCGACTTCAGCGCGCGCGACCCCTTTCTCTCCGGGTGCGTGGGTAAAACAAACATACCAGATGGTCCAGCTAGCGGACGCAAACGGACTTTTGTCTGTTTTATGTCCGCTTTCGACTCATTTCCGGCCCAAGTTTGGACCGTTTTGAAGTGAAACGGACAGCGCGCGGACGGGCGGGCCGTGTGCGCGTGTCCTTCCCTGGCCCGCCCGTCGATGGCACAGGGATCCCTCTTTCTATCCGTCCCCTCCCTCTCCAGCCGCACCCCCTCCACTTTTGCCCCTCGTCGTCGCCGCCGCCGCCGCTGCTATTGCAGCTGTGCAGCTCGGACGCGCGCTCGCTCAGCCATAAAAATTATAGATGAAGTTGTATAGCGGTCTATCCAACCACGGTCACCTGATTTGCGCATCCGGCGGCCGGATTTGGAGCGGATCCGGTCGGGCTTGAGCTCTCCCGGCTGTGGGAGGCCACGCCGCGCCATGGACTGGCGGGCAGGTGCTGACTCCACCTCTAGCCGCTCAGATCTACACCGTCGGCGGTTCGCCAGCAGATACCTGAATGGCGGTGGGCCGGGCTCGATGCTGGCCCAAAAGCTTGTCGGCGCACCGTTGCCACTCATTACGTGCGACGACTGCCCAAAGAAGGTCTTGCGCCGCATGTCTACAACGACGAAACATTCTGGATGGGTGTTCATCAAGTGCTCAACCGTTGGGGTATGTGCTACTTTAGCTTTGGTTGTGTTCTCGGATTTGACTAGTTGTGCTAACCTAGAACTTTATTTGTGTAGAATGGATGCAAGTTTTGGTACTGGGTAGAAGACTACATCGATATATTGATAGAGCGCAATTTAGTAGATGTTCGTGCACTTTTAGCTAGAATAGAGGCTAGAGATGAGACTAGTACACTTGTTGCTAGAATAGAGGCTAGATATGAGACTAGATGCGAGGAAGCAATGTCTACTTCTTTACACGCAAGATCGAGCCTCCGCAAATCAACAATGAATGCATCGAGAAGGCACTAATCCAACTTACAGGAGCAGTTATGGAAGTTGGATATCTTCTAAAATGTACTCTTGTGGTTCTTGTTTTCTCTGGTCTTGCTTTTTAGTCAAAATTTGGTGATGTATTTTCATGTATCAAAAATCAATGATAAAAAAAGATATGTGCTTACAAAAGAAAATTATACACGGACGAGATGCGGCCGGAATGCGTCCGCGCGTTGGGCGTACGGCCACCGCATTACAGAAATGGCGCGGACATGACCCCATTGCCTTACTCAAACAGAAAGAATCCGGGTTAAACGGACGTCCATTTGGGATCGTGCCCTGAAGTTGGCCTTACAAACAGCGAAGGCAAGGCAAGTGCACCACGACGTGCATAATTACACGCGGTTATTTTTTATCGTAATTAGAATAGCTAGGCTAATTATGCATGGTGTTAAATTTTCGATGGAAGGTACTCCTACTACCGAAAGCCAGGTCAAAAGATTTTTGTCGATGGATCTCAAATATATCCATGCATTTTCAATCGACTAGGCAGCTCAAAAGGTCTACCGAAAGCATGCAGGTACGCCCTTTATCGAGAAAAAAATGCATGCATGCACGCGCGTAGGGTTTGACCATAGAAAAGGCTCACTCGGTAGTAGCAGACATATATGACACCTGATTGTGTTCTTATTTTTTTTATAAAATTATGATTTAAAAGGAAGGCTAAATGGGACTTAGCTCCATAATTTTTTATAACTTCTGGCTGAGCTGCCACCGCTATTTAAATTTTAACTTATCGTCTGCTCGCAAGTGCTGAACCTACTACCCAGTACCCACTACTATGATCCACCCTTTCCGTGACGCAGACCCATCGAAAGGAAATTAACCCATTGCATCATGTCATGTGTGTTCCCATTTCCAACCACCACCCGGACATAATCTTCACTAGACCTTGTGGGTCGTCTACAGTCGCATATGTGTGTGCACAGTACGTACGTTAGTCGCACGATTGCAGTGCACCACTAGCGAGCTATCTCCATCCCTGTCGGCCCCGGCCGGTCACCGTGCATGCAGTCGCAACGTGCTGCAGTAGTAGAGGTGTGGACTAGGCGGTACAGTACACGCACCGGGGATGAGATGCCGGAGTAGTAGGAACTTGCGTCGCCGGGAGCAAAGACGGGGTTGGTCGCAGGGGCAGGTGCGATGGCGTCGTCGAGGCGGTACTCGTGCATGATCCAGTCGGACTTGTGGCCACGCGGGGCGCGGCCCTTGTAGAAGACGAGCGTCTTGCGCATGCCGATGCGGCCGGAGCTGGCGGCGGAGTAGATGGCCTTGTCCCGGCCGGTGGCCTTCCAGAACCCGGCGGCGGTGGCGCGGTTGGTGCGCGTCCCCGTGGGGTACTTCTTGTCCTTGTGGCTGAACAGATACCAGTCATTCTGCGGGCCAGTTCCGATCCGACAGCGCTCTGCATGCATGCGTTTTTCCATGGCAAATTAGTTCACCATCCATGAGTCCTGAGCGCTACTCCGATCACATGCATGCATTGTGCACTACTACTAGTCTACTTCTCGCAATGGAAAAGGGAAGGAATTCACAAACCTTGGATGTCCCATGGCTCGAGCTTGTTGAGGTCGATGTCGCAGATGACGTCGAGGTCGATGCGCTGCAAGGCCACCTTCTTGGCGAGGTAGTAGGTGAGCAGCTCCTCCTCCGTCGGGTGGAACCGGAACCCCGGCGGCACCACCGACTGCCCGTTCACAGAGATGCTCATGGTCGATGGGTGAACCTCACACACACAACGATCACTATAGGATCGATAAAGAAGACACTACTGTAGCTGGAGTGAAATGATCCACCAAGCTATAGCCTACAACTAGCAACAATTGATGGGAGGGAGCAGGAGGGGAGGGAAGACGATGGTGTCGAGTCGAGGGGAATGAAGTTGTTGCCGGTGATGGGGTGCAAGGAAACAATGGCAACGGACGGGGGGTGGTTATATATAGCTGCTGCCAAGCTAGCTAGCCTTGTAATGGGATTAGTTACGTTCGTTCGAGAGGAGAAGTGCCACGGTGGTCCCCGCCGGCAAGGGGGGAGGAGGATGAGGAGGAGGAGGAAGAGGTCCGAAAAAAGGAGACGCGGCCTTAAAAATCTCCACGAAAACCACACCCCAAACCATACTGATCCCCTCCGCACCACAGCATGGCCAACATAACCACCACGGCAAGAGAACAGCACCAACAGCACCGTCGATCAGCAAGATAGCAACATGATGTTTGCGTGCTGGCCGTTTCTCTCTTTTCGTTCATGTTCACGGTTGACGTTGTCATAAATTATAAGAGGAAAATAAGCCACAGAAAGTAAAAGATGTCCGTGTACCAGCCGTTTCTCTCTTTTCTTTCATGTTCATGCGTGATGTTGTGATAAATTAAGGGAAATCAAGTTCCACAAGGTACTACTACGTGATGCGTGATGTCCGTGTACCAGCAGACGATCCATCGAGGTTAGCTATTGGAGGGAAGAAAGCCCAGAGCAATTAGTGGAACAGCTTTCTTGACTTCTCTGGTAAACCGATAAAGAAAGGTGTGCGTATGCATCAATGCATGGATATTGATTCTGCCGCTCAGTTGTAGGGTTCGGCCCTGCTGTGCATATCTGTCTCCTGCTTTTCTCCCTACAGAGCCAAAAGCCAGGATGGAGACTAGAAATTGATAGAAATAATTGCCTTTGAAAATTATTGATAGCATAAGTCGTCGCAGGAGAACAATGGATGTTGACTTTGATATTTCAAGATATACTACAACTGTGCTAGGAGTACCTAATTCACTGACCAAAGTTGCGGATGGAGTTGTAGTTTATTGATTATTAATTTGAAGATATGCACATGTGCACTTTTTTTTGTTAGCCGTGTCTACTTATGAAATGAGTTTTCTATCCGGACAGGGAAGTTGGGCGGGACTTTGGTTGATCATAGGCTTCATTCAGTCTCCTCGTAAAAAAAGTAAAAAAGGAGACTTCATTGGGTCGAGATTACACCAATGAAATGGTGAGTTGACGATCTGTTTGAATATTCTTATAGTGCCAACATAATTGCACGGTAAGCTTTTCGACCATTCATTAAACAGATGGTCCTCGGATCTTACAAATGTATGGGCAAGGGGTGCTCCATGCCTCCATGGGTAGTTTCCTAATAGGTCTCCGACAACTTTCATATTTAAAATAAAATCACGTATAAGGGAAATTGTGTTTTTTTGCACTGTCATGGTGTCAAAAGGCGTGTTGCATTTTGATACGGAGGGAGTACAATAGTTGTACACCACACCGCGTCAAAAAAATTGAGTCTATTCCTGGTCGAACCATGTATTTTGTAATGTAGTGAGACTTGCATTTCAATTTTTGCAACGATGTCAACCACGTTATGTACCATGTGATTCACTGGGAACCACATTTGACAAACTGATGAGGTATCCCTAACAAAAATTGCTAGCACAACTTGTCCAGGACACGACATTTTTTTTTTGAGCATCAGTACAGATACAAGCGCTCATATACACGCGCATACACTCACCCCTATGAACGCACACACGCACACCCTACCCTTATGAGCATCTCAGTTGTGCAGGTGGATATAGTACTGTACTCCTATACTTTTATATTCCTGCGCTTTTTATATCACGTGTTCCAAATATCTAGGCCAGCCGGGCACGCGGTGATTAACTCGTAGCAGGTAGCACGTATGCACGGCAGGCACATTGTTTCCGCGGCCGCCCCAGCACGTATGCCTGTCGATCTTACGCGGCAAGCTCGTCGTACGAACTACGTCTTTTCCGTGCGAGCTGGCGCTTTCCGGTTGCCAAAAAGGAAAGGATCGACGACGACGACGAGGCTGTTTGGTTGGGGACTATTGCGTGGAGCTGTGGCACGCTCTCGTCACCTTTGCCGACACGCACGTACGCGCATCCCGGAAAGAGAATCACGTGGTTCCCCTAAGACAACACGTACGGTTATTAATTCAGTGGCAGGCAGAGGAACTTTTATGTTTTATGTGTTCTTCACACTTTCAGACATGTACCGGCAGAGCACTGATCAACTACTCCGTTGCATCCGATCGCGCCCGAGCCGGTCTCTCTCCGTTACGTACGTACCGCAGCGATTTGGTATCATGGCTTCTGGCTTCCTGGAGAAGCCTTTCATGCAGGTCCATGCACGTACGCATCACACCTCCCTCTTAGCTAGCTGCTAGTGGCCTCAGCTAATGTGCATGATTATGCATGCACCAAACTAATCAATCAGGCTGCCATGAACTGATGGCTGTACGGCCGATGGTAATGGCGAGCTGTGTGTCAAGCCGTTAATGGCTACTCCGGCCTTGATGTGTCCCGCCGCTGGCCTCCAAACGGCCCTATTCTCTTTCCTTTCTTTTCCTTTGATGAAAAATGTCACGGCACTCGCCTACTGCCTACCAGGTCCGTGCCTGCGTCTCCGTGCATCACACGGTCGAGCCGTGCATGCATCCCCTGTTGCTGCTGCAGGAGTCACCGTGCGTACCAAACGATGAGCTAAATTAATCAAGAACGGAAGCGAGTAGTGGTCAACGACGGCAGACAGACCGATGGATGGATGGATATATGGGTTCGACGGACGACGTGCAGCTGGATGTCTAATCTAAACTAATCCGACCAAACTCGAGCGTGTCGACGTGGAACACGTTCGATCGGCCACATGAACGAACTATATGATGGGCGTTGCGTATGCATGTGATGATGAGTTTTACCGGCAATGATGGATTGATTTGGGAGAGGTGAACTTCTTCATCTTTTACCACAAAGGTCTGCTCGTCTATCGTGGCGACCCGGAAAGACAAGAATTTTCGACACGGATGGGATGGGATGGGTGGGTGGACGATCATCGGCTACTGTAGTCGGCATGCCTCGGTGCATGGCAGGAAACTAATGGATGCTCAGTGTCAGTGGCCTATTTGAAGACGCGGTTTTCATGTTCGCACCATGCATGCATCTATATATCAAATCGCTTCGGTTTGCGTTGCTTAAAAATGAAACTATATAGCATGGAATGACTGTGTACTGTTTGCGCTACTTATTTGTCCCCTCGTTCACGGAAAGTGAAAAGGTTAAGACGAAAACAAAGAGGAAATGATGTCAAAATTAGCGTGGCAGAGGTGAGTCCAGCGAGGTCGAGGAGACCTCCCGGTTTACCGACGGTACCACCGGACGGGCGTACGACGCATGCTATGCCAGCGACGCTGCTAGCGACTAAACGCGCGCTTTATCAGCACGTAGCACGCCCTACCCACGGCGCATGGGGAGGAGAGGGAATATTTCTTCGCCCCTTTTTCTCCTTTGGCAACATCAACGACATACGGGATTTCGCTTTGTCTCCTCCGTCGCCGTCGTAGCCGTGGTGCGTGTCCGACTGTCCATGGGCACACGTACACTTGGACCTTCTAGACGCCAGTGGCTACACTTGAGCTAACTAGCTTGCATGCAGCTGCTTGCTGTGAAATGTGCACTTGCTCACTGAGAGTGAGGGAGCTTGCACTGGCTCTGCTAGTGCGAGCACCGTTAAAACTGAATTGTCAGGCATGATGGTCTCTCGCCTTCGACCGGCTCTTTGATTAGTGGAGGGTGTGCACACTTCTTCCAGAGCTCAATTATAGCCGGCGATTCTCTCTCTAATGGAGCCATATATGCTAACTTTGTTTAGCTCGCTAATGAGCTTCTCTACGGGGTAATCATGCATGGGAATACTACTGGTCCTGACTAACTGATCCGTCGATGGACGTCGCAACGACAAGATCACAAAGTAAAGCCGGCCGGGTGATGGATCAAGGATGCATGTGGATACGTACGCACGCAGTGTTGTAGTGTACTGATTTGGTGGGGAGAAAAATATTCAGATAACTGAGCATGTGGTAGCTACGTGCATGGTGTCTTGTCAGCGCGTGTGCGGATTGGGCCATGCATGGCATAAACATGATGACCGGATCAGCGGGGAGTGTTTTCGTTGGCCAGTGTGCGAGTGGGTGGGCGGGCTTTTGCCCCCATCACTCCATGCCAAGCCAAACCCTAAGCCCCCATGGCTTTCCGACGCACGGCGGACGGCGATCAAATTCCGTCGCTCCACCTCTCTTTGCTGGCCTGGCCATGGCCAATTGGTCGTGTCCTCTCTTTTCCCGGGTATTTCTTGGTGGGGTTTGGAGTTTGGTGATGGATACGATCTCGCCATCCATACATCCATCCATCTATTTTTTTTAATACAATACAGACATAAGCGCTCATATACACGAGCATACACTCATCCCTATAAACGCACACACGCACATCCTACCTCATGAGCACCTCCGAAAGACTGAGCCGACATATTATCTTGAAATTTACGAAGTTACCCTAGGCACCTCGTCGTCGACAGCAACGTCTCCTCCTACTGAATGCGCATCGTCCAAAATTACGAAGGACTGTGATATTTGGCACATGTGTGCCATATAAACAAAACTGCCACATATCTATTTATTTCATTTTAAAGTACCATACGATCCCTTGTTCTTTGACCTCGCCTCTTTCCAAATGACCCCGTAGGCTCGCCTGAGAAACCTGCTTCTCCCGCACATCTCGGGCGCTCACCCCCGAGAAAACTGCCACTTCTTCACGTCTACCACATGATTTCTCCTCAGGACAAAGTTACCATGATATTCGTATGCAAGTTATCAGGCCTGTGTTGCATAACTTACCATGCTATTTACATAGAACGTATTAG